TTCAGGACAATTCACACAGCGCCATCTAGTCCCAAGTTAAGCAGAGCTTGTGTTATGGGTACTAGACAACTGATATAAATACATGGACACTTTTTTTTGTAAATAAATACAGATTACACATAGAAAACACCCAGACCGATACAAACAATCATACTCATGAATACAAATGTTTGTACCGTGCGAGGAATCGAACCCACGACCATCGGATAGTAAAGCGGTGTGCTAAACCACTAGACCACCGAGGCTGTCAAAAATGAGAATAGATTGCGGTTTGACATGAGAATGAATATCGGATATATTTTGTTTGAGAAAAGCAGACGTTGCATGTTATAGGTAGATCTATAATTTCAAGTTTTGCTTAATTAATTTAAATGACAGCATCTTAGTAATATTATAAATGCGAAAGTTTGTCAGTATGTATATCAGGATAGATGTTTGTTACTCTTTCACGCAAACTTTTTACAAAAACTACTGAACGATTAATTTTGATGAAACTTTACAGTAATATAGCTTATACATCAAAAAAATAAATTGGCTATAAATTAAAAAGATATTTAACAAATGTCAAGTAAGTGTGATACAGACAAATTTGCGTGGATCAAATAGTCATGCATATAAAAGGTTTGATGATAAAGATGCATAATTTTCCTTCTTACGTTTTATTCATGTGGAATAAAATTTAATAAGGTTATATATTTTACTAAAATAATAACTCTTAAGTTTCTCAGAACTATTATAGAACTGAGAATAATAATAGTAGTGTAGGTAGTTGATATAGTACTTGGTTCTCGGAATAATAAATCTAACATGATTTACGCTATATTCAAAGTCATTAAGAAGTTAATTGAACTCTACTTGGAAATAAACTTACATTTAGTTCTATAGTATATGTAAGAAAATACATATAATATGATATTAAACTTACTTAACATTTTCAACAATAACATCTTACTAGATATCTATATGAAGAGACTTGACTATAGATGCGTAGCCAGTTTTCTTTATGGTCGCGAGTTCAACTCCTTACACGGTACAAACATTTGTATTCATGAGTATGATTGTTCGGTGTTTTCTATATAAAAAAAATATAAATATTTCTATCAGTTGTCTGGTACCCATAAAACAAGGTCTGCTTACCGTGAGACTAGAACAATTTTAACGAAGCGGTTAAAAATGCATTTTTCGTTATTAAAGGTTAAGTAACCGCATTTTATCCTACGTACTTTCAGTAGCTGAAGCCAAAAAAGGATTAACTACGGACAAGAAACAAATAAACTTTATAAAAGAAGATTCAACTAGAAACTCCAGAAATAGGAAGTTCTCAATTCTAGGTATTACTAGGTAGTATTACCTGACTGGACTATTTTAATGGACACATATGATAGACGTTATAAAATATCAGAGAAATGTTTCATCTTCCAGACCAGATTTAGTCCTGTATTAGAAAAAAAACTATACAATAAAAAGATAAATTTTTACTATTTTTCTTTGTTGCAGTTGGATAACTAACCGTTAATAACCGCATTTTATCAATAGCTAACCATAAATCTGGTTAAATAACGGTATCTAAGACTGGCGGTTGACCTATACACGCATAGCTTAAATAACAACAACTTTAATATAATTTCCGGTATATATGTATATAATTAAATCTAATACTTACTTAATTTAAAAGCAATACTTATGAGCAAGTCTTTTTTGGTGGTACTTTAAAAGTAAATTAAACAACAATAAATAAAACATAATATACGCACGTATTTTTATGGACTAAGTTATTTTTGCTATCTTCGTGCCACTCCCCAGAGACTACCCTCTAAATACAAAACTTTCTTGGCAATAAAAGCAACGGATGATCCAAAAATAATCGAACTAGTTCACAATGAACAAAAGAAGTGATGTAATACAAAATTCGATGATCCGTAACAAACAATAAGGTCTTTCTCTCATCAAACAACATTAATTCTATACGTACAATAACTCTTACTACGTTTTATTTATTTTTATTGAGTACCCGATATTTTAGTAGTGTTTCAACCATCATGATCACGGGTAAACAAAAAGAAGATACTAATAAGGTGAGTATATATTGCCCCGATGAGTATCGAGCTAGTTTCAATAGCAAAACCAACAATCGAAGACGTGTACGTATAAATGATGATCAAATTTTAAACGGTATATAATATTTGTGTTGTTTTGAGAAACAGTATTATTGAGTCAATCTCGTAAAAGTAGAATATTCAGTCTAAAGCAGAGGTATTTGATATGTCTGAGGCACTGAGGAAGAAGCACTGACGGTTTAATGAGGAAAATACGAAGATAAAATAAAATACGACTAATATGAAAGCGACATATAAAATAATGTTATAAAAATATGATTATAGAATTCAAAAATAATATAAAAACCTATCAAGGAGTTCGCTACACAGAGTCTACCAAATATGTGAAAGTTGGTAAAGATTTTTGATTATTAATATTAAATGTTAGACACACATAAAATTTGATACTTAATAATGAAAAACAATAGATGAAACTCTTCGTCTTGAATTTGTGTGACACGTGTTTAATCAGCAAGTCTTTTTGATTAGTTTATATTTACTTCTCGTTTTCCATTACTATAATCATGAAATTCGTTTCCATTGCAGAATCTTGAGAATCTAATATTATATTCTCGTGTCACAGTTTTAGTTGCTATACTTTTACGAAACTTGAACGAATTTTGATGAAGTTTTATATGTACACTTGGTAGATCTGAGAATAGGTTGTGACAAGGATGGCTCACATCAAAAATATGTTTTACTAGCTGTGCCCACGATTTAACCCGCTTTAAATTTCAATAAAAATGTAGCCTATATATTATTTTATATGCATGAACTATATTACTCTAAAATTTCATCAAAATCCGTTCAGTAGTATTTATGTGAAAATTTTTACGACTAAGACTGATAAGTAATCATTAAAAATGGGTGAAACCGCGGGAACAGCTAGTAAAACATATTTTTGATGTTGCATCACATAAAAAATATGTTTTCACTCGCTTTAAATTTCTATGTATATATTTCGATAAAAAATGTAGCTTATATATTATTCTGATGCATAAACTATATTACTGTAAAGTTTCATCAAAATCCATTCAGTAGTTACAAACTTTCGCATTTACAATATTATTAGGAATTTTTTTTTATGTGTCATAAATAAATACATCAAATCTAATTTTTTTTTCATTAACTTACCACTAACCCCTATTCTTTAATAGCGATATTAATTTATACAGCAAAACACGTGCTCCGGGTCAGCTAGTATTTATAAAAAACTGATGCATACTATACTATATACATTATATATGATAATGTCATTCTCGTGGTTATCACTCTATTTGAAGGTTAATGTCATGTTTTTGATGTATTTTACGATATCATACCCTAATATACCCTTGGGCATGAATGCCAGCCCTAGCCGTAAATAGTGAATCAAGTCAGAAAAAAGGTTGTCCCTGACACACCGTAAAAACCAAATTATACCCGAGCGATGGCAGACTGAACCGCTAGGTAAATAGATTTTATCTCCAACTAATAATAAATAACCATATCATCTGGTATCTTTTACAGTAATTCAATTAAAACTCCGTGTCGTCAAATAACTACAATAGTGAACACTGATTAGACTTTTTGCTTTTGCAATAGCATATGCTGGTGGTCACTCTATTCTCCCAAATTTGAACTTAAAAATGAATCTGTATTATTGGAAACATGTACAATTATTTATTTGAAAAGAATACGAACTAAGTTTCTTATCAGTTCTTCTCACCTCGAAATCATTTCGAACTGACGGTAGATTTGATATATCATAGGAATCTGTAATAGACCTACATGAATAAAGATATTTTGAATTTGAACTATACTAATTTCTATACATAACTGGTTTATATTGAAATATTACACGAGCAGGTGTAAATAATGTACAAAGCAATACGAGAGTACAATACAATAATAAGCAATACAAGTTAAGCATGTGTTATTTTGATGTATAAGATATATTACTGTAAAGTTTCATCAGTTTAGTAGTTTTCGCGTGAAATAGGAACAGGATCCATCCTTCCATACTCATAAACTTTTGCGTTTATATTGAATACAGTATATATTTATATTTATGTATGTATATTTGTAAGTATTTTTAAAGACCTATTTACCTATGTTAGGTAAAATTATAGGTTAGTCCTTTACCACCACTGCCCATCAACCGCTTTCTGTTCTTACGTATTGGTTAACTGGTAGAGAATGCCATATGGCATTAAGCTCGCCAAATTGTACAATTTTTAAAAAGTGCAATAAAGAATAAATAAATAAATAATTTAACAAATGAAATGAATACATATATAGTTCATCAAAAATTAACACATTAGCAAAACACAGAGAATGAGTTACTACGCAGACGACTTTTTAGAATTTACCTCGATCGATAATATTCGGCATTTCACATAGACATTTTATACTGCATAGTCTTTGATAACGGAAACAATTGAATTTTTTACTGCTACTACTATTGCCTCAAAATTTTGAAAGAGTCCAACCATTTATTCGGAAATAGTTACCCTGACTGCTGAACTCTTACTAATTATATTTTTTTCTTATTACGTAGTAGAATCAATATCTTTGAAAATTCTACATTTACCATCGCCCCGCTCGCCATCGACAGGAAATTCTTCCCCACACGCTAGAACTTAAGTGGTCTCCTGATAGTGCGGTTTTAGAGGAGCTTCCTCGCGCATATACTTAGATTGTGGAATGAACTCCCTGGTTCCTGGACATTTTCTCTCGAATCTCAGCATGCGTTTTTTCAAGAAGAGTATATTAAAGTTTCTTAAGGTTCGGCAACGTGCACATGTCATGTCTGGTGTCTCAGACGTTCATAGGCTACGGTAATCATTTACCATCAGATGGTATGCTTATTTGCCACCACCGTAGTACAGTACATTAATGTAAACTTACTTTCTTTGTCCACAGGTCGTTCAGAACCCGGTATCGTCCCTTCAATAATAGGATTTACTAAAGACTCTGTAGCCCACGAGTCAGATCGACTAGCTCCAGGAGATAGAATCTGCAGCGTGAACGGAATATCCACAGCTCGGTTGACCAATGATGAGGTACTCAGGCTACTGGACAATGTTGAGGAAAGGGCCTCGTTGGAGGTCGAGTATTATATGCCAAATTACGGTAAGTTATATTTACTTACTAGGTTCCTAAAAGATTTGGCTAGGCAGAGAGAGAAACTCAAGCCGTGAAGGTGAGTGTTGACATCCGTCAGTAAAGGCCCCTTAAACCTACACCCGGGTCTCAAGTCCCGGAAACTGCTCGGAGTTTCTCTCTCTGCCATATGATGGACCCGGTATACGCAATCGTGAATCCATGGAAGAAGTTCGACTCTCTTTAATCTTCTATTGAGTATTCAGCAATTATTCTAACAACTATTTCTTATAATATTACTTGAGAACATTAAAAATGGTCAATAGATATTAAGTAAGACTACGCGATTATTATATAGGATGCGTATGAATTTTTTTTTATCCAAATTTTTATTTATTTATTTTAATTCAGTCAACTTAATGTTATTTATAGAAGTATATTTTCTATATTTTTTCCATATTATATACCACATTTTGTACTTTAAAGACTCTCAGATATATATATAATAGTTATAGTAGCTTAATAGATTATTAAGAGTACCTTTTTCATTATGTATTTGCATTCATCTTCCAAAACATCAAAGCAAAATAAAAAGTAAGTTAGTGAGACTTTAGTGATTGCGATATTATTCTAGAATATCAAAGAGGTAGAATTTTTGATGAATAATAAAATAAACTAAATACGGCTTCAACAGAATGTATGCGTCACCGAAATTTCCCTTAGCGATAGTTCACGAGGTAATTCCGCTCCGACGAAATGACACATGTCAAACCACCCTTGTTCACTGTTGTAAAAGTTTATTAACACTTCAGTGCTGGCCACTGTTATAGTTTTTTTTTATATTTTCAAATTACAAGCATTGACAGCATCTACATACAATTTTTATTTATTCTGTAGCTACTATCCGCGATTTCGTCCGCGTGGAATTAAACTTTTTTTTAATGAAATAAATAAAGTTTCTAAAATAGAAGCAGCGTAAGATACTTCGTATAAAATTAGCTATCTGCAAATGAAATTCCGGTCAAAATCTGTTACAGAGATTAATACAGACAAACAGAGAACAGTACAGATAATTTTTTTTTTACCGCAAATGCCGTAGATAGGATAAGAGATAATAATGTAAGATCTGCATTCGTTTCACCTCTAACCGAGGCATCATCAGGTAATGATTAAAGTTCCGATATAGCTGTAAAAACTGATTGATGGTTCGACGTCCAGACTACGACACTCCTAGTCTGGTCACCATAGTAGAATATTTGTGGTCTCTGTATGTTGTCAATGAAATGGACGTTCGCAAAATAACAGTAAATTCAATAGAATACATATGTACTTATTTTGTGTGTATGTCACGCAATATTTTCGATAATTTCAATAATGTCTTTTACTTTTTACTAGTAATATTTACTCCTGTGGTAATCTAAAAATAAATAAATATAAATAAAAAAAAACAAAATAATGATCTGCCTGACTTAGTATATGAAATTTGCCCAACATCTATTGATGTAATTTTATCTTATATTTGTAGCTCTAGAATGATCATACGATTATTTCCATTTTCCTAAACCTTATAGTTTTTTCCCCACAAATATTGTCCGTACTTTGTTATTAATTTGCTTTCTTTATATCATTATTATTATTTATACCTTTAACCCCTGTATCAAGGGAGTAATGAGGGTTGACAGACAAGACAAGAACATGTTTTTCTCAGCACCTATGGAAGATATCTTTAATAGGAGATATTTTATTACCATCATCTTCTTTTCTATCTTTCTTTGCTTATCCCATTTATTTGTGGTCGGCGTAATATGTCTCTTCCAATCATCCCTGTTCACAGTCATCTCGTTATTTACTCTCTTTCTTACCATATCATCTACCAAGAGTAGTTACTTTATATGGTGTATTAATCATGACTTTGTAATTGCAATCAACTGTCCCTTTAATCCTTAACGATGTATTTGCGAACTAAAAATTATTTCTCTTGCAGCCTCCCAAAACTCCTTGTATATCACAACCAAGCTAGCAGAAGTGCCTGTCGAAAAAATAAATGGCTCTCTGGGTATCACAATCCGAGGTGGTCTACCAGAGAATTCGGCTCCGAGCGCTGATCTGGTGCTGAACAGTAGATCTCTGGATGCCCAACCATTGGTGGTAACTCATGTCAGGCCAGGTGGAGCGGCCTATAACACATCCAGAATTAAACCTGGAGATAGACTTTTGAAAGTAGACCATGTGAGTACAAATATTATATTTACTTTAGACTTGTATGATTAAAGAAATGTATATCCAAGCTTATGTTTAACTTTCACGTTTAGTACATACACATTATTAATTTAGTAAAACAGGTTTTCTTATTTAGCTTTAAATTATTAATATAGTTACTGTATTAATAATTATAGTATACCTACTTTATCATACAGAAGGTGGATATTTAATACTCAAAGAAAATAAATGGCTGATAATACTTGACTGATGTTTATTTTCATATTATGAAATACTTCTTAAATCCATCAAAATTCTGGCGCTATATCTCAGGAATAATAAGATAAAAACTAAATATAAAACACTTTAATGTGTAATTTTTACCTTATTGTTCCTAATATAAATAAATGAATGCACAATTATCTAAAAAAATCAAGTGAATCCTCTGACCTACATAATTTAATTTAATTTAAATTAATATCTTACTTATCGATTTAATATCTGAATAACTTATATCAATATATTAATAATCAATTATTAAACAATCAATTATGTATTCTCATATATATAATTACCACATCCTCAAGCTTCTAATGAATATTTGTCTTTATTATCTAATACTCCATTATATCCTTCATAGATATCACTAACAAATAAAACACTTTCGGAAGTACACCAAATATTGCAAAATTGCCCTCAACTCACCAGCCTCACCATAGAATATGATGTTTCAATTATGGAATCAGTGAAACTGGCAACTGGACCTTTATTAATAGAGATTGAGAGGCCTTGTAATGAAGATCTGGGCCTGTTCCTCAGTAACCAGAGGTACTCAGATGACGTGTACACTAACGCATCAGATACTTACCAAAGAGTGGGGAATTGTAATGCTATTTATATAGATAGTATCTTGCCGGCCAGTATAAGTGATAGGTAAGTTTTTGTTTTGTCTTATTTTCTTTAACATATTGTAATAGAATCGAATCTTAACCACGTCACATAAACTAGTTATATTTTGTAGTATTTAGTAGTTTGGGATGTCTTTAAACGACATTTCCAATCAGATTTAATAAAAAGGTGTGGTATAATAAATCCCTGGAGAATTCACACAACTCCATCTACTCCCAAGCTAAGCAGACCTTCTGATGTGTACTAGACAACTGATAGTTATAATTAGATTTTTTTTGGAAATACATACATAATATACACAGAGAATGCCCAGACCAATAGAAAGTACAATCCGAGAAGTGCGCCGAATCGTACTCACGACCAACTGAAGTAAAGGGGTGTGCTAAACCGGTGTGATAGACCACCGAGATCGTAAGAAGAATAACCACAGTTAGATCAGATGGCACCTGTGTTCAAGCTCCGTATAAAAATACTAGTTGCAATTTATAGCCTATGTTGACTGATGTACGTTACATTATTGTAAAGTTTCAGATAGTAATTTTTGCGTGAAATAGAAACAAACATCCATCCATCCAAACTCAGAAACTTCTGCGTTTGTGTCATTAGTAAGATGACAAACTATTAATTGTAAATACTTGATCATTAACATTCCAATTTCCTGATATGGTTACTTTATACTCTGTACAGTTACAAGGTTATACACGTACAAAATGTCACGAAGCCTTGAAATGTGATCGTAAATTGTATCTCTATTATGATATTGGATAACTCTAGCATGTATCGCTAATAATTCTTAAACACTATCTAATTTATGTAGCTTCTCTTATATCGGTAATCAAATTCGGTTATTATTACTTTCCAATATTCCCTATATACGATATCATGATGGCTAATCACTATGACTTATTTTCTCTTATTAATTATTTAACCAGTTGTTGTGTATTGAATGTTTTTTTCTATTTTATTATTTCATTGAATTAGTGTTAATCGGTAGTTTGTATTCACACACTTAAACTTAAATTGTAAGTAAGAATAAATTATTTAAAAGAGCAACACACATTTTTCTTGCTTGTTCTTCTTGTGATGAGACAGCATACCGAATGAACGGTAGATTAAAATAAAAATGTTGTGACTATTCAAAAGTGCTTCAATGTAAGTTTATTTGAATAAATGATTTTCTATTCTATTCTATTCTATTATATTGGCGATAGTGTAACGGTTTAACGCCGCTTTGCCGATGGTGACCGGTTCGATTCCTCGCACGGTTTGCATTCATGAGTTGTTTGACGTGATATCCATGATGCTGTTCGTATAATATAGGCTACTGTTGCCACTTACCATCACGTGAACCGATAGCTTGATTGCCGATTCCGTTACTTTAAAAGAATGAATGCTAAAGAATATATGGAATTGGTTGATATAAGTACACATATAATCTACATATATTACGTACAAAAAATAATTGTATTATTAATATCATGAATGTTACTACACTCGTTAATAAATCTATACATATAAATAAAATTGGATTGTCTGTTTGTAATATTGCAATAACCGTTTTTTACTAAATGCATATGAATATAGATACGGTGCATACACCAAAATAACATTTTTTACTATTTTTGTCTGTCTGTTTGTTCCGGCTAATCTCTAAAGTGACTGGACCGATTTCGATGTCGAAACAAACAGACAGACAAACGAAAATAGTTAAAAGTATTATTTTGGTGTATATACCGTATCTATATTCATTACATTCATATGCATGTAGTAAAAAACGGTTATTTCAATATTACAAACAGACACTCCAATTTTATTTACACGTATAGATGGCATGCGTAGTGTAGACGCGTAGTGTATACGTTGTGAGTTTATTACTCACAATAATCTGAAACTATATAGTAACGATTATTACCGTTGTGAGATATTGTTTTCTTGAACAAACATTCATTAGGTAATTTTGGAATGGCTTCAGGCCTTACGCCTCGTAGCGGAGGTCTCAATCAGTTACCATGAAACTAACGAAACTATTATATACTAGATGAAAACCCAGCTTCGCTCTGGTGAAATGTGGGTAGATATTTCTGTAGTCATCGGTTCTCATGGAATATTAAAAGTTAGGAAGGCATAGATTTGTAAAGCTTCGTTCATTGTGTTTAATAAATATAGTAAATAAAAAGTGCAAAAGTTTTTATATAAATAATTTTTATTTTTTTGTAAATTTTAAGTTGGGCTAAAAAGAACTTGTATCCAGAGCCGTAAAACAAATTCATAAAAAAAAATTGCCAAATTTGTCTCGCAATTGGCCAATTTCAGGTTTAAAGAAAAAACACATGCTCTTTTATCATAAAAAAGTGTCAAAAACAATATTTTCAAGAAACGTCACCGACCGAAGAAAATGCTAGTGAAATGAAAAGATGGCGACTGCGGTTTGTTTGTCAGTGTCATTAGAATTTAACGAAATACTCTATAATCCGAATTTTGCGGATATATGTTGTCGACTCGAAATCAATATTTTTTTTGTTTTGTTATTCACATAAGGTTTCGTTCGAGTCTACCGTACCCCTTGACGAAAATATTAATATAGATTTGTGAAGTGGAATTAGGAGCGATAGAGTTAGATAAGGATGTAAATTAGATATAAGTATAATAGATATATGTACTGTGTCTATTAATAAAATTTACAAATATCAGTGCTCATCTCTAATTAATCATCATCTCTAATATTTAGCTTATTATTAAATGTCAATGAAGCGATTAATTTTAGTAAACACTACTGTTAAACTAATTTTCGATACTCAATGTCTTGTTTTTTGTAATAATGTATAATATATAAGTTTTTTTTAATGACTGTATGTGTCAAAATAAAGAGAAAAAAAAATTGACTACTCACGCATTTCCGTAACTCTGGCAAAAGGTAAAGAGACGGAACATCTTAGGGTTTTTAGTTGATACCTACCCTTCTATCTCCCCCTGAGCGGGCGGGGCACCATGAAGATTTTACCCAAGTTAAAGAAAGAGATTATGTAAATTAAACATATACTGATATTTACATTTTAAACGTATATTAGACTTAAAAGAAATAAATAATTAATAATAACCTAGAACAATTCATAAAGGACAATTTCCATTTCTGCCTCCAAAATATTTGACTAGCAAACGTATCTGACAAAAGCTGGACCTTTTATATCGTTTAAATAGTTCAATTGAGATGAATTCACAAGAAACTCAACTGGAACATATTTATTTATTATATTACGAACGAACGAAAGATTACCACATAGGTTACGGTTTATCTGGAACCCGAAGAGCTGGGGCGTGCTAAAGAGTGGGTCACCGCCGTCGGAGTTGCGGTGAACTGATTTCGATCCCGCGACTCCGGCACATGGCGTTGGGGGAGGCAAATCTTGGAGTTTTTAGTGAGTAGGAGTCTCACAGCACCCGCTGACCTCCCCTGGGGTTCCCATGAGGGATTTTTTACAATTAAAAAAAAAGGTTTTATTTTATGTAAAATAAAGCAGACAATATCGCGGAAAAAAGGCGAAAAAAAAATCATATATAAACATATAGTCATTCTTCGTTAATTCTAAACCTATTTTGATGATTGTATTCCATAAGGGTTAAGTTTATTTTGGTTATAATTTGTAGATTTTTAGTAAAACAAAATAAATTTATATACAAGTGTGAATTAAGTAAAAAATAGGCTTATGTTTTACTAATGTTTTTTTTATGTCGAGTTCAGAAAACAAGTTACAGAAAACATTTAAAGAAACCCTCATTTTTAGAATCGTTAATAGCTCGGAATTGTTCCTTTATCAGACCAGAGGCCTATTGAAAGCGAACATTTAAAAAAAGAAATCGCTGTTAATTACAAAGTTTGTACGTTCAAGGGTGTTTAATGCGATTCCTTTCTCTGTTGGAACCATCTAGAACAATGTAATTGTTATTGCTGTGTCCAATGAATTTAAACTCTAATTGGTTAGTGAATATGGTGTATTTTTGCAATCTTCTTTTATTGCTTGCACTTTCATTGAATATATATGTTTCTGATAAAACTGTCGACAGCCTTTTAGCTTCTTATATAGTTCAATATGTAAAAGTATCTATAAAATTGAGAAGAGAAATTCTACTTTGTGTATATGGAAACGATGTCAGATAAATAACGTTAGTGCATTAAGATGTAGCTTCATTATTGTTTTTGTCAGCCTCGGTAGTCTAACGGTTTAGTACACCATTTTACTGCCGATGGTCGTGGGTTCGACTCCTTGTACTGCGATAGTGCCGTTGCTTCGATTCCTCGCACGGTACAAACATTTGTATTCATTCATGACGACCTCGGTGGTCTAGTGGTTTAGCACACCACTTTACGTCCGATGGTCGCGGGTTCGATTCCTCGCACGGCACAAACATTTATGTTCATGAGTATGATTGTTTGTATCGGTCTGGGTGTTTTCTATGTATAATATGTATGTATTTACGAAACAAAAATCTATGTATTTATATCAGTTACCAATAGCCATAACACAAGCTTTAACTAGCTTAACTTGTCTGACGCCGTGTGGATTATCCTGAGATTATTATTATATTATTAGTGTGATTTTTGTATTTATCTGGGAGTATATTATGTGTGTACTTAATTCAATACAAGTATTGTTTTCAGTTGTCTAGAATCACACAAGATCTACTTAGTTTGGGACTAAAATAATCATAATATATTTTATTGACACCAATTTACATAGTAACAGTTTTTTTTTATAGACTATTACATTTTTTTTTAAATGCGCTTCATGAGAATTTACTAATAGTGTCTACATCTAATTTCTTATATAAAATGGTTCTATATAAATTGTCTTTTGTTATATTATTATCACATTTTAATTTCCTATAAAAATTACGATAAGTATTAGGGCAAAAATGACGCTGTATAAATTGTCCTGGATTATTATTATTATTAATAATTATAGATGCGGCGCATTACACCCTGGTGACCAGTTGCTTGCCTTCGATGATCATGTCATAGACGGGAATAATTACACTGCTGAAGAGGTGATGTGCTACTTAGAGAACAGTGAAGGTGGATTTACAAGATTACATGTCGCTCCAAGACACGTTCTAGCACATGGAGGACGTTATACTAGAGGTAAACATTTGTTTTTATTTAAATAATAATAATTTTATTTTGCATCCAATATTTACAATTTGAATTGTTCCCTGGTAGGTACCAACTAAGTAGAAACTTGTATTTTAGGTACCAGTTCTCTCCTCTTACAATTCACAATGTTTGGAATTACAATTTATAAAAAGACAATCTATAAAAAGACAATTAGAAATCATACTAAATAAGTTGTATATTCACCCAGTGTTCATTATTCTGTTCATCTGAATCAATGATAGCCCCCCACCACGCGTTTTTCCAGAAACTTTTTACCACCACCTTCCAGCAATGGAATTTTCGAACTGATATGATATTGAAAACTTCAAGAAAAGAGCTTATTCCTTATTAAAAGGCAGACAACACACTTGCAATTTCCCTAGTGTTACTATCGTGATAGTAAAGAAAAGAACGAAACGAAACAAAAACGAAAACAAAAATAAAAAATTGGTAATTCAGGGATATAGAAATAGCATAAAAAAATTACAAATATAAAGTAATTTATTTTTAACTAGCTACTTGGCCCGGCTTCGTCCGTGTGTACATGTATTTTATATATAAACCTGCCTCTAGAATCACTCTATCTATTAAAAAAAAAACCGCTTCAAAATCCGTTGCGTAGTTTTAAATATTTAATCATACATAGGGACAGACAGACAGCGACAGCGACTTTCTTTTATACTATGTAAGGATGTCTACTTATTGATTTACATTTCTTTTTTATTAAGCCGCAGAATGCTTTGCTCTTGAAATTAGTTACTTTGTGATACCAAATTCCATACTTCCTACGCATTTCGTACATTCCATTTATTTTTTTTAACATAATAGTTTACTAAAAATTTACCATAATTGGATGGTAATACGGATATCAAATGGTTTCCTGATGTAATGTATATATGTAGTAGATGGCTTATAATAAGGTACTTTACAATAAGATACCAAAGGATATATAGGAATTACCCTTAAATAAATTCAAAACATCTGTTAAATCGTATTTACTGAGCAAAGCCTATTAGTCGCTAAACGATTACTTGAATGACGAGCGTGCATGGCAATAGTTGCTCATGCACTGGATTTTTATTTAATGTTAGACATAGACACCTATATAAATATACATTGTAAATAAACTGGCTTTTAAAAAAAAGTATTTCAATTGAGTCTTGCCAGTTCTTCTCAATTGGATCCATTTAGTGAACTGGACGGTAGGGAAAAAATTAAAATTATAATGTAAAAAAAAATTGACGTTCATAAGCGGCTAAAATGTCCTGCCTGAATAAATCATTTTTTAATTTGAATTTGAATTGAATTTGGTTGTCGCTTATCGTCAGGTAGGCCGTCAGTTTATTTATCACTAAACCAAACCATAATGCCAAACATAAAAGTGAACAGTAGATTCGTTTTTTATACAACTAATATATATTTTTATTCATTCTAATACTCAAGAAAAGTTTAGTCTCTATAATCAGCGTGGGTTTCTAACTTGAGACTCGTGTATACAATACTACTAATAGTAGTCCTATAAATACACCATCAGATCCTATACCTACATCATTAGCTTAATAGCTATAATTACCGCATTACGTATCTACATACAATTAGTTGCGATCATTAAATAAATTTGCTTGACTAGTTAGTGTTACGTTTGGGTTATTGATCTGTAGAAGATGAATAATAGATGTATTATAGTTAAGGAATTAATTATTAATTAATTATTTCTCTTGTTATGAGATCAGTTTACACAAAATGAAGCTTAGTGACAGATAGTAGGTAGAAAATTTAAGAAATGAACAATAATTTATTTATTTTCATGTCTACTCTATTGCATTAGACATCGATAATAATTCAAATAGTAAATTTTCATAAACTGATACAAAGAGCAGTTATCAGACTTGGATCGGATCGAATTGGGGATCGAAATTATGACAGCCTAAGACTAGGTTCGAACCCCTAACGGTGCCCAGACTAAAGAAGTATCTGTCGAGCGGGATTGATATGTCATCAGCACTCGCCCCCTATCGTCCGTTGAAGCTGTAAAGCAGCAGTCAACAGCATTAGAGTTGCCCGAAAAAAAACTAGTGGTACTCCCAAGTCTGGAATACGTTTAATTAAATGGTTATCAGTTTGGTATTAAATATGGCCTGGCCTGTCCATCGCCATTTCATCATAGTAATCTTGTATCGACCACTCCGTCCTGTAACAAATTAGGACGTTTCGAATACGATCTCTCAAAGAAACTTTGAGCGTAGCACTCCATATGGTTCACTGACTTACTTTCAACACATGTAGCAGTTCCATCGTCAAGGTTTACATCTATGCAACGATGTTAAAATGTATTTCTATTTATAAATTACAATTTCCATTTAAAACTAATATATTAGACACTATTATTATACTGAGAAAGATTTGATCTTTGTATGATGCAACGGATGAACTCATAAATACTTAAGCAGTTTAATAAAAAGCTGTCAGCTATTAGGGAGCTACATATGTGACTAGATTATGTAAAAATATAATAGCTACGAAGCTTCTAAAATTTTCTTTTCTAACACTTTCTTTGGTCGAGGTTTTGACTCCTTGTACGGTATCGGCTATCTATATTATGTATGTATTATATTTATAAAAATAAAATCTATGTATTTATATCAGTTGTCTATTAACCCTAACACAAGCTCTACTTAGCTTGGGCCTAGATGGTACTGTCTGAATTTTCCTGAGTGATTATTCTAATTACTATTGAAGATTTTTAATCATCTAAATTATGTACAATTTTTTATAACGAAAATCTATGAACATACCTACTAGATTGATCACTCAAGTATCCTTTTCATATTTCAACTATTTTCCTTGGGGAAATTTACTTAGTTTAATCAATACCGTTACGAGACCTTCACAGCTCTCCCGTATCGTAAACACACAAACATTAAAAATTTATTAACACTTTCAAGAGAGACAGTCTTTTTTATTTGACAGCTATTGCAGTGTTTTTATCCCAGGTTACTATTGATTCGAGAGTAGGTAGCTATTTTGTAAAAATTATAATAATTAATGAATCAGTGAATATTTTGTAACGGTGATATTTTATTTCACATTTGTAGTATAGTTTTATTTAATACAGAGTTTTTTTTAATTCTTGATTTATTTTTTAAAGGCACTGCTGATATATATATCTGTGTTCCTTGTAGAAAATGCCCCAAGATGTTGAGTCCGCCATGTGCATTTATCTATTGCATCCACTTTATATGTGTGTTTGTACGTTAAAGTTTAAAAAAAAATTACTAATATACTCTAATATTGATTATCTTTACATAGTATAAAACCGCTTCCACTGTCTGTTCGCTTAGATCTTTTAAACTACGTAACGCCAGGAATTAAATGTTCTCTTTAACGTTTATTGAAATATATCATTGGGACTAGATGGCGCTGATTTGATTGTGATGTTCGTCAGATATGTATAATTTAGAGGCAAACAACAAAATAAGTCTGCCTCAGGCTGACAGAGAATTAACGTCATCATCGTTAAGTATAACCGTAGAATGTAAGTCGATATTGGAGAAATTTTATCTACCAAAGGAACTCGTTATTCGATACCTGCAGGAATCTTAGCGAATGTAACAAAGTCATAGCTACTCGTTAAATTGTAAACGTAAGTTTCTCGTTAAATTTCCAGATTCCCAATTGGAAACTGGAAACATCGTTACGATGATAATGTTTGACGATAATAATGGTGACGAAACGGGAATGTTGTTCGATTTGCATTAAAATTTACGAGTATTAAAAACATTTTTATATATTATTAAAAACAAAGTTAGCAACGAAAGACATTGTAACATCTTTCGTTGCTAACTTTGTTTTTAATGTCTTTTACACAAAAGAATATTTCTTTTATATATAATTTCATTGTATATTTTGTCAATAATCCATAATTAATAAATAAACCTGGACGCTGATGAGATGCCGCTTTGTTAATTACAAAGCGTCATCTAGTTTCACTGAAAACAGAGCTTTTGTAATGGGTACCAGACAACTGATATAAATACTTCTTTTTGTAAATACATAAACAATATTTATAGAAAATACCGAAAACAATATAAACAATCATACTCATCATACACATAAATACAAATGTTTGCACGGTGCGAGGAATCGAACCCGCGACGGAAGTAAAACTATGTGCTAACATCGAAGCCGTCATTGTGGCCGTCATGTCAAATAAATAAATAAACTAAAATTATCAGTACATTAATAGTAGAATCAGAAATATGACTATTTTAAAGTGCTTGTACTAAGTTCATTTTAATAAAGATTATTTCTATTTCTATTCAAACGAGGTAAAGGTAAATAAGCATTGCATTTGTTTTGATTTCGTTTTTTTTCGTCAAGGGGTACGGTCGACTTGAACAAAACCTTATGTGAATAATAAAACATAAAAAAATATTGATTTCGAATTCACAACATACATCCGCAAAATTCGGATTATAGAGTATTTCGTTAAATTCTAATGACACTGACAAACAAACCGCAGTCGCCATCTTTTCATTTTACTAGCTAACAACCAATCAACACATCGCGTGCGTTTGCGCCAATAAGGTATCCATCACAAAGAACTGTGACTGTATAAAACCACAGATAACATAATGTAAAACGAAAGATCTTGACGTATATACACGATTTTATCATAAAAAAGTGTCAAAAAACGTCAACGTCATGTTTCCGGCAAGATCTTTGTTTTATATACATATGTAGGTCGGGTGTATAAAATCCAATCATACATCTTTACAACTGAAATCTCTTATCTTTTATACCGTCAGCAAACCGTACTACGTAATATGAGCATAAAACTTCACCCGTATAAATCAAAAGACTGAACTTCTGGTGTTTGTAATGTGCTACTACGGTACTAATAATATCCTTCAGATAGTTTAATTTACAGTCAAACTGCCTTGAAATACCACATACATAGACTATTTGAATTACATCTGAACTTACGACTCTATAGTTTCGTAATAGTAATTTCGATATTGCTTGTTACTGGGACGGTTTTAGGATATTGTTAAGATTTTCTATGAGTCTATTCAATACTACTGACATGCGCAGTCTTTCTTGTCTTACCTTACTTTCCAAAGTATCACAATGTGTTTTTTATCTGTTAAATAAAAAACAATTAAACTTTGCAATATTTATGAATGTAATATTATATGTTTTCTACAATCACTTACCATTTCCTACAATTGTATTTGTTACACTAAGGTTGCCTTGACAAAATTGCTTTCAGCAATAATACCGCCTTATTTTATTTATGCACTAATTAATTGTATCATTTTTTTGTCCGTATAAAATGCTACTTTATTTTATATTATTTATAAGTAGATACATCAGCTTTTCGTATTTACACACACACACTTTTCACACAGACAATATTATTGTATTAGTTTTTAAATATTATATTATATGTATGTTAGTCTATAAGGTATTTATAATATGGGCCTAGTTGCCTGAAATAAATGAATAAATAAATAAAATAAATAAAATTTATAACGAAATATTATTAAACTATATAAATAGTATAGCAATTTTTAAAATCCTAATAATTAAATACGCGTATTTACATAAACAAACTTTATATGAAACCTTCATACAAATATGAAGAAAGGCTGCGAAAATAAAGGATTCGTTCACATATTTCAAAAACTATGCAATAACCTTAGATTCAATAGCCTTTTAAAGTTTAATAGAGAGTTGAAGTTATCGCTCAGCAAAGAGTGAACAACACTGTAATAACTCAATGAAATAGCTTCAGATTTTAAGAAAACATCTTTTGAAATTGAGATATATTGTTGGCGTTGTTACTGCTAAGATATACAAGCAAGTATTATTCGATATAACAAATGAAGTTCGTATAACCTTGTTTGAATAATAAATGTTAATATTTTAAAATTAGAGACATTGTTTTAATGATTACAATAGTTTTTAAGATAATAGTAATTATACCATAACCAAATATAATACTTAATTATAATTGATTATATGTTACTGTGCATAATTTGATTATTGATTTAATATTATACATTGTTTGACATGTTGTCGCTTCATAATATAAAACAAAGCCGCTGTCGCTGTCTGTCCGTCCTTATGCTTAAATCTTTAAAACTACGCAACGGATTTTGAAGCGCTTTTTTTAATTGATAGAGTGATTCAAGAGGAATGTTTTTATATATATGTATAATACATGTACATCCGTGCAAAGCCGGGCGGGTAGCTAGTAAATTATAATTATAAACATGAATTCATATAACATATATATCCCGAGATAAGAATATATTATGGGTCTTTATGAGTTTATATGGACATGGTGGCCTTTGTTCAGCAGTGAACGTCTTCCGGGCTGAAATGATGTTGATGATGTATTATGGGTACTAGACAACTGATATAAATGTTCATAGATTTTTTTTATAATAATTTAGATTTGAATTAGAGTAAATATCTTCAATAGTATAATATCTCAGAGAAATTCACACAACGCCATCCAGTACCAATCTAAGCAGAACTTGCTTTATGGGTACTATACGACTGACATAAATACATAGGTACTTTTTTTTGTAAATACATACACTATATACATAGAAACGCATGAAGACCGATACAAACTGTCATACTCATGAATATGAATGTTTGTAGCGTGCGAGAATCGAACCCGCGACCATCGTAAGTGAGGCGGTGTGCTAACCACTAGACCACTAGACCGTCGAGATTATTACTATGGAAGTATAGATTTGCTCCTATATGTTTTAATGAATTTAGATTTTATACTATATTTGTATTAAAACTATTTAATACGGGATACATCGAGAGATTTTCAGGTAGCAACAACAAAGCATACTCCAAATTGTTGAACCTTAAACGTTGGAATTTTCTTTGTATGCTCCTTATAGGAACACGAAAATAATAAAACTCCTTTGTATACAAAATTTTAGAGACCAGTTAGTTTACATACTAAAAAGCAGGTAGAAAATTTATTAAAAAAAAATTTGGCTTTTATTCTATACAATATATATCTATTCATGTAGGTCTATTATAGACTCTTATGATATATTAAATCTACCATCACTTTGGAATGCTGTCGAGCTAAGAAGAACTGACATTTATTTATTCATTTCATGAGCTTAAACATGTTTACAAAACTACAGAATAATTTTATATTCATACTAGCTGTATCCAGGATTTTACTTACGTGAAATTTACAGCCTAATCTTATTCTGATGTACAAACTATATTACTGTAAAGTTTTATCATAATCTGCTCAGTAGTTTTTGCATAAAAGAGTAACAAACATCCATCCATACTCACAAAGTTTTGCGTTTATAACATTAATAAGTTTAGGGAGAATAGAGTGACCATCAGCATATATGCTATTGCAATCAAAACGAAGGTGTTCCTAAGGCAACCAACGTAATTTTTTCAAAGTTTTGATCTTTTGTTGCTGAATAGAATTTGTTACGGAAGGAAGGACTGTATTAGGGCTGGTTAAAAATGAGACACGTTCCTAGGTGAGGTAAAATAGGTGTAATCAGCTCGCTAGCAAAAATATAAAGACAATATGGCATAAGAAAACAAACGGTATATAACATAAAAACTATCAAAAAGGTTGCCATCGGCAACAGAATTGTTGCTGGTAAATGATACTGTGTTGTAGGTAGACACGATGTATATTACAAATGATAATTTACTGGCAATATGCACGTAGAAATATTGATCTTATATACTAAATGACAATAGGAAAATGTAAGGTGGGGTGACACAGTTTAGATACGGCAGTGCTTAGTAGACAATATTGGATTATTAAATGCAATTATTATTTTGATGTATCTAGGCAACTGAGTCCCATAAGAATATTATGTGGCAACACGTATGTGACACCCCTGGTGTTTCAGGCGTCCATAGGCTACGGTAACCGTTTACCATCAGATGGACCGTAAGCTTGTTTGCCACCTAAGTGGTATAAAAAAAAATTGAGCATCAATAAAAATGTTTGTTAACAAATTCTCTAGGAACAATGAAACTACCATCCTTAGAATGTCCCTATCCAACGGCTATCCTTAAAAAACCAACGTAATTAATTCAATGTTTAAACTTTTTCTTCTTGAATTGAATATTAAGCATCAATATGAGATTTTTCTTAAGAAATCCTCTAGGAACGTACCTAACTTCCATCCGCAGACTGTACCTATCTATCCATCGATTGAATTCTATTCGTTGTAAGTAGATAATAGTCGTTAGATAGTCAAAGGCTTTCTACGAGTTTGTAAACTGATAGGTAGTTGTTGCCCAGATTGGCCACTTATCAGAATCGAATTTCCGATGGAGGTTCGTGTAGAATTAAGACTGACAAACCTTTATAGAAAGGAAAATGTACATATCTAGAGAGACTTTTAAAGGCTTACGCTTACTTGAGCTTTGTGGAGAATCGTGAGTACAAAATGATTAATCAAATTATATAACTGAATCTCCGGTAACCCCTTTTTTTATTATAATAAATATTAATTTAAGAGACGATAGTAGGTATACCTTGCTATATTGACTTCAAAATAGATTCCGAAGATTTGGCTGTTGATACTAGTTTTGATCACTTTATTCAAGTAAAGTATAATATAAATAAATTATTTAAAAAAACAATTTCATATTTTAATATATACGTAATAGAAGTACAGTTGAGTTGATACTCCTGTAATAAACTTCGTTAAGATTACTACTAATTTATAATAAAATATACCTCAGTGTTCTAATGGCACACTGCTTTAATTGTACAGGTCATGGGTTCGATTCCTCCAAACATGCATTCGAGATGTGATTGTTTGTATAAGACTAGATATTTTCTATATATATATAATATGTATGTATTTATAAAAATATATATCTATATATTTATATCAGTCGTTTAGTAGCTTTAACACAAGCTCTGCTTAACTTAGGATTAGATAGCGCAGTGTGAATTGTCCTGAGATATAAATTATGAACATGTATATAATATTTATCTATAAGAATTTATTGCAAATATGAGTACATTTTTCTATAATAAAAATGTTGATCATATTATTATTTGTTTCAGAAAACTCTGTATCGGGTACATCAACACTTAATACCAAGAAGCATCGTCAAAGGAACTACAGACAAAGCTCTATGCCAAAACTGGGCTTACAAGACGATTACGGTAAGGAATCGACTCGACAAATCCGATAAATAACTGCTACTATTATGGGATTTGATGGGATTCTCTGTACGACTGTAACTCGTGATTGCATAGACCTTTTTCTATACTTCTCTGCAAAAATAATATTTGTTATCGGCATTGTATTGAAAATATAAACGAATACCAATATTTGCTGTCAATTTCTCACTGGAGTATATAAGATATCAGGACAATTCACACAGCGCCATCTAGACCCAAGTTAAGCTAGTTAAAGTTTGTGTTATGGGTACAATATAACTGATACAAATAAATAGATTTTTTTTCGTAAATACATACATATTATACATAGAAAATAGCCAGACCGATACAAACAATCATAGTCATGAATACAAATGTTTGTTCCGTGTGAGAAATCGAACAAATCGAACTAGAAGAGAAATAAAAACCACATGAAATTCTCATTAAAGAAACACCATAATAGTGTATTCCCTTAGTTCCAAACATCGAACTATCTGTTAGATATTATCAGTGTAATGGGAGCACTTAGCATAATACTAATGAGCGTCTATTTGTGATTACAGTGATCGAATTACTGAATAACCATAAAATTCTATGCTTGCTATTCAACCTGCTGTTTTCATCTTATGTTAATTAGTCTTTTTATTTGATATTTTTCCCAGAAGTATATCTAATATTATAATAATCTCAGGACAATTCGCACAGCGCCATCTAGACCCAAATTATGCTAACTAAAGCTTGTGTTATGGGTACTAGATGACTGATACAAATACATTTTTTTTTGTAAATACATAGATATATATTAGACATAGAAAACACATAAACCGATACAAACAATTATACTCATGAGTAATAAATACCGTGCGAGGAATCGAAACCGCGATCATCGAAAGTATGGCGGTATGCTAAACCGCTACACCACTGAGGTTGTCAAATTTAAAGTTTGTGTTTGTTTGTTTGAGATAATCTCCGATTCTGCTGATCCGATTTTAAAAATTCTTTCACTGTTAGAAAGGTATATTATGTCCGAGTGCTATAGGATATGTAACATCAAGGTAAGGTAACTACTAATAGAAGCAGAGCAGCAATGAAAAATGTGGGAAAAAATATTAATTTAACTCATTACTTAAAATAAATGTGTTATTTGTAAGATTTCGAAGTTTCGTACATTCTAGTAACTATCTGACAAAAGATTATATAAAATAAAATAAAATTTAAATAAAACTTCTCACAATACTCCATACACATCAACTATCTTGGACGCTGTACAAGTATTGTAGTAACTATCTGACAAGAGATTAAATAAAATTTAAATAAAACTTCTCACAATACTCAGCTTTGCATACACATCAACTATTTTGAATTGTGGGTTTATCGAAAAGTTTACAGCAATTGTACACCTTGTTGATTGCCCAGGTGATAATCTGGTCGTAAGCGCACAATATATTGCGGCTTACGACTCTATGGGGGCAAAAGAAAGTATCCTCCAGACAAAGAGAATTAGGCCAAAGGGCCTTCGGATTTACGACAACAGCTGTTTGTTTAGGATAGTTCCTATCCTTTCAGTTTCTACTCTGCCAATGTAAATATACAATTTGTTAATTAACTCCACAGATAGTCAACAGAACTACATGAGTATGGGTGTTTGTCGTACGGAATCGTTGAATATTCAGTTGGAAGTACCACCAGGACAGAGCAGCGGTTTGGCAGTGCATGAGGAAAATTCAGCGTTGGTGATATCTCATCTGGCAGCACAGTCGCCAGCTTATAGGTATGTTAAAAAAATTAAAATCAAGATATCTTTTTTTTATCTTAGGATAATGCACACAGCGCCATATAGGCCCAAGTTAAGCTAACTAAAGCTTGTGTTATGTACTTGATAACAGATACAAATATATATATACATATATTTTTGTTAAATACATACATATTATATATAGTAAACACCTAGACCGACATGACACAAATAATCATACTCATGATTACAAATGTTTGTGCCGTGCGAGGAATTGAACCCACGACCATCGGAAGTAAGGCGGTGTATTTAGCACACCGCCTTACTATTATTCGGTCTATTACAGGCTCTTGTGATATATCAAATGTACTATCAGTTCGAGCTAAGAAGAATTGAGAAGAAAATAAGCTCATATTCTTTTCAAATGAGCTTGTACATATTTCATAAATACAGAATTACTTTTAATTTTTTATTAGGGAGAATAGAGTGACCACTAGCGTATATGCTATTGCAATTTTGTCAAAAAGTCCAATCAATATAATAATATAAGTCAATGGAATTCTTTAGAGCTCTTTCTCTCTCACTATTCTTTTCAAATGATCTTATACAATTACTAAAATACAGATTCAATTTTAAATTCTATTAGAGAGAATGCAGTGACACAAGTATTATAGAACGAATTGCATATACTATGCTATTGGTTTTATAATATTTGTCAAGTAAGAATATTTACAAAATAGCTACAAGTAATTTATCATTATATATACATCATTTATAAAATGAATACCATATACTATGCTATTCGTTTTATAATATTTGTCAAGTAAGAATATTTACAAAATAGCTACAAGTAATTTATCACTGCTGGATCTATTCTATATATATCTTTGTAATTATCTATTCACATGGGTAAAATTATCCTGATCAATTCATTCATAAGTATACCATAATTTGGAAGAGGATATTGACTCCGGAAACAAAGTTATTTTCTATACCTACCTCAGAAGAGAGGGACTTTATAATTTGTACAAATAATTTGAATAAATTATTATTATAATTCCTTTTCAATAAATTAGCATATACATATATTGGTCTTGATACCTAGTTTACAATATACTAGCTGTATTTATAAGTTTAGTATCTTTTCACAGACAATAAATAAATTTCCAGAAGTGTGTACATTTGCTTTTGCAAAATAACAACCCGAAAACCTATTTTTGCTTTTATGAATATTTTCCTAGATGTTTAAGGTTTATTGTTCTTTTCCATTTGCTGTTTCTTTAGACTGTTATTAATTATATTACTTATTCTATTGATATGTTCGTCTAAGTCCAACGTAATCTCTGGTATATGAAATATCAGATCTTAATTCTCAGTAGATTTTAATATTCATGATAGTTCATCTACTACCTACTAGTTTCTATATGGTCGTTAACTTATTTACTATCAATAGAGACATAAAATATATATAGTTTCTGCCATATCCAGTATTACTTGGGAGTGGATGTAATAAAATATAGAAGATCTTTAAAATGACAAACATGTTTTTACAGCTACTAATAGAAATTCATTAATCATTATTACGAAATGGACTTTCATATCTTACTAATATTATAAATGAGAAAATTTGAGTGTATAGATAGATAAATGTATGGATGAATGTTTATTATTCTTTCACGCAAAAACTACTGAACATATTTCAATGGAAATTTATAATATTATAGCTAATACAGTAGAATAATAATAGGCTATAAATTTCATGAATGTGAAAACGCGGGCACAGCTTTTTGTATAAAAATGGGTATATATAAAATTGTTTAAAAATACGTAAAATAGTCAGAGAGACAAAGTAGTCAAGTTTATTGTTGCACGAATAAAAATTCATACGCCAATATAAATTGTAACAGAACAGTCTTATTAATAAATTTGTTGCTTTTTAGATCCGGTTGTGTACAAATAAGAGACAGAGTAATGTCCATTAATGGACACGAAAATCTGACTGTGGACGTTGCTAATGAAATATTACAGAGAAGAAATGACTCCCACAATCCTAAGTACCTGACATTAAACGTGGAGTTCAGCATGGCTAACACGATAGAAGCCTCGAGTGGTGTATTTAATGTGAAATTGGCTAAAACTACAGGAGGCCTTGGAGTTACTATCACAGGTAATATTAAGTTATTCATTATATATACATATGTATGATACGATTTTGAAATCTTTAAAAAAAGGCATTTATTCTTCTTAAAATGTCGGACGTACTTGCAATTCCTCTAGTGTTGCGGGTGTTCATGGGCGACGGAAATCATTTACCACCATGAGCCGCAAGTTTATTTGTCCCCTATGCTATAAAATATATATGCAAATTATAACCTTGTTAATTATTATCTGTAGGCTTTTAAAATATTGTCAATAAATCAAACTATATCATTATATCTATCTTGTAATAAACGTAAGCATGGAATAATATCTAGATATTTTTAATAACCATATCGATTTCATTTGTTCTTGATTATTTTTACATTATAATATAATATATCAGGGCAATCCAAATAACGCGATCTAATCCCAAACAGACTAACTAAGCAGAGCTTGTGTTATGGGTACTAGACAACTGATATAAATACATAGATACATTTTTTTTTGTATTACATACATACACCAAGACCATTTGTACCGTGAGAGGAATCGAACCCCCGACCTTCTTAATAAGGCAGTGTGCTACACTGCTAGATGCGTGATGCGCACTGCGTGATTATACTAATTATATTTTTGTGACTAAACATCTGCATTACTATATAATATCTTATAAGATGGGTAGAAAATCAGTTTTCAGTATTAACATTTAAGTTATATTTTTTGTCTAATTGAATCCCAATGACTATTTTTAGGATGTAAACAAAAATTATTAAGTAATGAAGAACCGATGGTGATATCAGATATAAAACCAGGATCCGTGGCACACAGGAGCGGGGCACTGGCCCCGGGAGATCAGTTGCTTGCGATCAATGGGCAGCCATTACATAATTTATCGCTGGTAAGTGCTAGACAATTTAGTACTGGAGCCTAATGAGATTTCTATTACGGAGTGAATTAACCACTGTGACTGTAAGCAACAGTGTGACGATCTAGTATATCCTGGCCTTTACTATCCATCTATTTTCACGCCAAATCCATAATAGGCAGAGCTCATTGTACTATGGAAAACAAATATACCTAAAGACCATGCCAAAGAAACAAATAAATATTACTATTCAAGGAATGAACGACAAATGACTGTAAATGTGCAGAGCTCACTGTACTATGGTAAACAAATATACCTAAAGACATGTCATAGAAATAAATAAATATATAACAAATGGGTATGTGATTAATTTATATGCGGTTGAAGTGAGAGCAAGACGTATACCAGCTAAATCTCTCAAAAATCTTGTCCTGTCTAGAAGTGCAGAAAGATCAGGTGCAGTCTAAATGGACAAAATATCCAACTTCATACCAACAAATTTGGAGATATTGTTTGCTTTTTTAATCAAATATTGGTAAATAAAATATTGGCAAATATTTAATGATTTGATTTCATCAAAAAGAAAATTTCTTGCAGAATCTACTCTGTTATCTTATAGTTGCTATTGTACTACTTGTACTTTTATTATGTGTATTCATGGATTATATTGAGCTAGTAAATTTAAGGTTACTCAGTCAGAAGGATTACTAATGTCATCATAAATCACCAAATTCAAGTCTGAACATGGCCCGCGGAATTGGAACTGTCCAAATTAATACTATACTAAAGCTTATCCATCTAAATTGAGTTTTTAAGAGATAATAGCCTGGTAGTTCTTACTATGGACCATCTCTCATACATAGATTATTATTTTGTGTTTAAAAATTAGCATTACGTCTGGTAAAATTAGTATTCTGTACTTAATGAATTATATTATTTATGTTTAATATCATTACCATTACCATGAGATCATATATAATCAGTGTGGAAATCAGACTACCCCTACTGGAAGTGTTACGACCTCCTGTATTGGTGATCAAATTCCGACCGTTATTGAATCTACCCATATTGCGACACGTGTTTCCCTTCTAAACGAGTTATCATCAGGCAATGAATATAGTTTGGAAGCCTAGTATTATCTCATCGGCAACGAAATTGCGACTAAAATGGACTTCCGCAAAATAACTCCTATTTCGTTAAATTGATTATTCTTTGTAAATAATTTATTCCATTACACAATGTCCTAAAAATACACACCGTATATTAACCTAAAACTTATGAATATATTTATGATGTGCCAGTACGTGGACGGCATTGATTTTAAATTGCTAATTATTTTCAGGATACGGCTTTTAATATTCTACAAAATTCACCGGACGATATAATTACGTTGAAAATCAGAAAGCGTGACCTAACCGAGGATTGGGCGAATATTCACAAGCACAACGCCAAACTAACATTACAAAGTTTCAGTAATATTGAAATTAAAGCAGTGGTACATAGCGGCGAAGATTCTGGGCACCATACAGAGAGCCCTAATAATAGTGCTAAGGAAAGCGAACGCAGTCACGGTAGCAATGAAAATGGTAATACGGCTGTTTTCACTGTCGAGTTAATTAAGCAAGAGAACGGGCCCTTGGGATTAACAATCGCTGGTAGCGAGGACGTAACGCAGCCTATTTTGTTAAGTGGTCTCGTCGAGGGTAAGAATAAGAAAATTGCATGAATTTTATACAGATACGTATATTCACATTTTAATTATACCCGTATTTTAGGAGGCGTAGCTGAGAAATGTGGAAAATTAGCTATAGGCGATGAGTTATTAAGCATAAACGGTGAGAGTGTTCTCAGCAAACCACTTTCTGAAGCTATTAAACTTCTCCAACAGAGCGGTCAAAGAATTCAATTACAGCTGTGCAGAAAAGTTACAGGTAAAATGAATATAAAATATCCTCATATTATATTAACGACTTGGCTTCGCGATCCAATTATTGTGAAAGATTTTTTAAATTGTATCGTTAAGTATTTCTTTCAAGTCAATAGATAGATAATTCATTTGCTTGAACATTGTTTTCTATACAATAAAATAAGGTACAAATATTCACTTCATAATTAGGAGGCATGCAAATTGGATTTTTTAAAAATATTACATTACAAATTAACAATCAGAAAATTAAGTCATATCTATTCTTGCAAAGTTTAACTGCATTTTTCTAATTGAAATAATCTTTAATATGTTTAATATTTGTTTTGTTCTGATTATATTATAATTAGTTGTGATTAATCCTAATTTAATATTGATTAATAGTCTATTAAAGTAATAATTAAAATGAAATGAAAATTCTCTATACATAGGATCATTAGAGAGTGCTGAATGCAGCGCGAGAGATTCTAGTCATTCCACGTCAAGCCCTGGACTTTCAAATGATAGTGCAGTTGAATCTTGGGATCAGAATACACCTGTTAGAACAAGTGCTAATTGTGGTAAGACACTTTTTACCAGTTAGTCACAATGACCAACAAACTGACGGCCCACCAGATAGAATGTAATGACCGTCACCTATAAACATGAACAGTACTATCAATAACAATCGTTTATCAGGACAATTCACACAGCGCCATCGAATCCTAAGCTATGCAGAGCTTGTGTTATTGGTAATAAACAACTGATATAAATACTTTTTTTAACAGACATATAAAATACATAGGAAATGCCCGGATCAAATAAGTAGTCATACTCATCAATTCAAATGTTTGAATCGTGCGAGGAATTGAACCTACATTTATTGGAAAGTAATCCAGTCGCTAGACCACAGAAACCTTATAATTATATACAAGCTTTATCCGATAAAATTATTATAATGTTTTCTGTTCTAGGTAACTCAGACGTAATAGAATATGCAGTACCAGATAAAACGAGAATTATAGACAAACAGCCGTACTCTCCAACAGACGAGGACAAACTAATGGCGTCTAATTTCAATTCAGCTGCACCGTACAGCATTAACGATCTACCACTACCGAATTACTCTTTGAACAATTCCCTAAAAACTTTCCACTACGAAAACACATGCATCATTCCAGAAAATACACTGAAGAACAAACAAAATATCACGAGGGAGGATGATGTACAGCAAATCGAGATTTTGACATCAAATATGAAGGAATGCCAGTTACACAATATGGAGAGATCGTCGTGTAAATGTGATTACGTGCAGATGGGGCCATATGGAATGGTATCGCCGAAGATCAGACGTCCTAATTGGGATAATGATTATTTAAATAACGGTATATATACGGTAACAACACCGCAGAAATCTCCGCACAAACCAAATATACCCGGTACAAGTTTTCAATTCTCCACTAGTCCTGTTTATGAAAATGATGTTCCAGGTAATTCAATTACTTGCTTGAATACACACAAAGCTAATTGTATTCTCACTTTACGAACCTTTTTCACTTTTATTGCACAGTTAAGTTTGATAATTTCATGAAATTTGTGTATAATCTCTTCTTATCAGATATAGCTTTTGTAATACTATGTCTGAGAAGTTATAAAAAATAAATAAATTTAAAAAATATGTAATTATTATCATGTTTACAATACAAATACACTTTAAAATGGTCAATTATGTATTCTTACAAATAAAGAAAGTTTGTGAGTGTGGATGGATGGATAAATGTTTGTTACTCTTTCACGCAAAAACTACTGAACGGATTTTGATGAAACTTTACAGTGATATGGCTTATATATTAGAATAACACATCAGTAAATTTGGGGATTTTCAGATTTCGTTCGGGAACCGCGGTCTCAACTAGTATATTATAAACGCCCCGGCTTCGCTCGGGTGTATTATTTATTATCGGATTTTGGAGCGTTTTTTTTAGTAGATAGAGTGATTCAAGAGGAAGCTTTATATATATAATAATACATATACACCCGTGCGAAACCGGGGTGAGTAGCTAGTATAGTATATGTTTAAAACTGCTTTAACAGGTCTATACAACAATGAAGCATCACCAGCCCGCGGTTCTATACACCACGTTATCTTATACAAGGACGCTATCTACGATGACTACGGCTTCTCAGTGTCTGATGGATTGTATGAGCGAGGGGTGTACATCAATCGAATAAGGAAGGGTGGCCCCGCCGACATTGTAGGGTTATTGAGGCCTTTCGACAGAATATTGCAGGTTAGCCAATTTTTGATGAGCGAATTTATTGTTGAGGAGTTACTTTGCGGTTTTACTTTTATTTAATAAATAAATAAACTCTGGACAATTAATATAGCACCATCTAGTTTAACGGTAAGCAGAGATTGTGTTATGGGTACTAGACAACTGGTATAAATACTTAGATTTTTTATTAAATACATACATACAAATTCCAAGACGATACAAACAATCATATTCATAAATGTTTGCCGTGCCAGAAATCGAACCCGCGACCATCGGAAATAAAGCGGTATACTAAACCGCTAGACCACCCGGTCCAGGCCGTCAAAGTTATTCATTTATTTATTTTGAAATTTCCAAATATAACAATGCTGATTTATTAAATTAAATTAAATACAAAATTGGAGTCGTGTCGTATCAACGTTTGAAGAGCATGATGGAAGATAGTGGAAAATGGCAAGAGCTCCGACAAGAGCGTAGCTCAATCTATATCAATCATATCATCTAATAATATCAACTAATAGTATAAAACAATGTCGCTGTCGCTGTCTGTCCGTCCCTATGTATGCTTAAATCTTTAAAACTACGCAACGGATTTTAAAGCGGTTTTTTAATAGATAGAATGATTCAAGAGGAAGGTTTATATATATAATACATGTGCACCCGTGCGAAGCCGGGGCGAGTAGCTAGTTAATAATATTTCATAGTAATATTTGACCATTATGTTGTGTAAACTAAACTAAACTTGTGGATACCTACAATATATCTGTATGTGGTTCGATTCCTCGCACGGTACAAACATTTGTATTAATGAGTATGATTGTTTGTATCGGTCTGGGTGTTTTCTATGTACAATATATACGCATTTATAAAAAACATGTATCTATATATTTATATCAATTATCTAATACCTATAATACACGCTTTGCTTAGCTGGGGACTGGATGACGTCATGTAAATTTTCTAATGTTATTATTATTATTAAATTGTAATTATAATTCTACAGGTAAATGGTACAAGAACGGTAGACTACGATTGCTGTCTCACCGTACCACTGATAGCATCGGCCGGTGATCGTCTCGAGATTGTCGTGCAAAGGCTTGCAACCTCCAGGGTAAGATATTGTTTTGTATATAGAATACGCAATGGAACACCTGCACTAACTACTTACATTAGTGGAGGATGATAAGATTATGATGATGTTATCAAATCAGGTCAGTTAGTCTGTTAGGATGATGTTCGCTAGATGGACCAAATTAAGAACTCGTTTCATGATCATCGTTGTCTTGCCTTTATCCCATTCTTTATCCCATTATTTGGGGTCTGTATTGTATGTCTTTCTCTTCCATTGATCTCTATCGGCCGTCATATCTGAGCATAGTCTCCTTGTATTCATATCATCTTTCACACAATCCATTCATCTTTTTTTAGGGCGTCCCCTCTCTTTCCATCCATCCACGTTCATATTTTTCATTTCATCAATAAAGTTTTGAAAATATACATTTTATATTTATATAATAAATTTTCATTTGTTATATAAACAAATTTTTATTTAATTATTATAAGAATAATATCTTAGGACAACTCACATTCTGCCAAGCCAAGCAGAGCTTGTGTTATTGTGAGTACTAGACAACTGATATTTTTTTGTAAATATGTACACAGAAAGTACCCAAACCGATACAAAAATTCTCTTGAATACATTTTTGTATAGTTCGAAAAATTGAACCTGCAACCATCGGTTTTGAAGCGATGTGCTAAACCGCTAGACCACCGAGGGCGTATCTATATATTGTCTATCTTATAATTATTTCACTATATGGGCTGACTGACCTGACCTCATGCTCATCTTATTAAAAGACGCTGTAAATATGTACAATATGTCGATAAATAGAGAACTCTTTGACCCTAATTATTGCATGAGCAGTGGTATTTATTAGCGTTTATTATCATCATACAATGCAGTAATTTAATTTGTATTAATATGTTTACCTAATTACTGTTAATAAATTACATATGATTAATTTACATTGCATTGCATTGATATGCAATGATTGAATTAGAAGATCGATAGGGACTTCATCCCCACACGGTGAAATCTAAGTGTTTTTCTAACCGTAAGAGGTTTCCTCTTACTAAAAAAAAAACTCTTTTAAAAAAGTTTCCACTACAATAAAGAAAGAGCTTTATTGTAGTGGTAACTTTTCAAAATACCAAAAGATATATTGATATTTTGATCTACATTTCAATTACTCAAAAAAATATTTAGTAATACTCGTCGTATAAAGCATATTACTCTGAAACCGTTATTTAGGGGACCGATCTTGTATGGCGTTAGTTGTTCAGATAAGGGATTTGTTATTTTAAATATTTTAGACATATGCACTACCTAAACTATTACTTGAAATCATTCAATGAAAATCCCGTGCATGGACGACTATTTGCCATGCACTGTATGAAACCGTGCATGGCAATAGTCGTCCATGCACAGACATAGACAGTTACACAATGTAAATAAATTGGCTTTAAAAAAAAGGAAATCAGTTGAGTTTCTTGCCAGTTCTTCTCAATTTAATCTATATACTGAAATAGACAGGAGTCTAAGTAAATAAGATGAAAATCCCGTGCATGGACAGTTACACAATGTAAATAAATTGGCTTTAAAAAAAAGGAAATCAGTTGAGTTTCTTGCCAGTTCTTCTCAATTTAATCTATATACTGAAATAGACAGGAGTCTAAGTAAATAAGATGAAAATCCCGTGCATGGACAGTTACACAATGTAAATAAATTGGCTTTAAAAAAAAGGAAATCAGTTGAGTTTCTTGCCAGTTCTTCTCAATTTAATCTGTATACTGAAATAGACAGGAGTCTAAGTAAATAAGATGACAATCCCGTGCATGGACAGTTACACAATGTAAATAAATTGGCTTTAAAAAAAAGGAAATCAGTTGAGTTTCTTGCCAGTTCTTCTCAATTTAATCTATATACTGAAATAGACAGGAGTCTAAGTAAATAAGATGAAAATCCCGTGCATGGACAGTTACACAATGTAAATAAATTGGCTTTAAAAAAAAGGAAATCAATTGAGTTTCTTGCCAGTTCTTCTCAATTTAATCTGTATACTGAAATAGACAGGAGTCTAAGTAAATAAGATGACAATCGCGTGCATGGACGACGGTTCATTTAATGATGGACATAGACAGTTTACAATGTAAATAAATTGGTTTTAAATAAAAGGAAATCAGTTGAGGTTCTTGCCAGTTCTTCTCAATTGAATCTGTATACTGAAATAGACAGGAAGGAAGAATCTTTAATTCATGAAATATACATGATATATAAATAAATTATTTTTGATTATCATTTTAAATACTATGTAATATCAGTTCCAAAAAAAAATTTATAACATAAAAAAATTATAGTCCAGTTTTTTGTCAATTCTTCTAAATTGAAGTAGCTAGCCGAATTGGACAGTAGTGTGATATGATAAAAAAGGTGATGGGCACAATAGGTCTAATGATCATACTTGATTAAATGATGTTGAGTTTCGAGTTACAAATTTAATATTTTTTTGTATTTTCAGGATCTGAAGAATCAGAGATTGGATGACAGTTCAAGCCCGAGCGACAGTAGTATAGTGACAAAAACTATTTAGTGTCTAACCCGACTTTAGTGAAATAACACCAAAGACTAGAAGATTTAGTGTTAATAAAAGTACTATTGAAGTGTGTACTTAATTTATATCAAATAAACATTGAACTGTGAGGGAACTCCAAATAGTTACAATCTATTTATAAATAGCTGTAATAGTTTTAGATATACCTACATTGAAAGTTACGATTTAGGATGTGCTACTAATTGAAAATTTAAAATAATATTATAATTATACATTTAAATAAAATGCAGATGTTTAGATAATACTCAATATTGTACAGGATTTATCGTAAAGTCGATATCCAGTGTTCATATATCATGCCATTCTTGGATATGAACAACTCTTTCAAAGAAGCGAACTGGACAATTTACATAACGCCATCTAGTCTCAAGCTAAGCTTGTGATGGGTACTAGACAGGTGATAAATATACTTAGATACATTTTTTTATAAACAAATAAAATACATAGAATACACCCAGATCAATACAAATAATCATACTCATGAATTGAAATGTATGTACTGTGCGATGAATTGAACCCGCGACCATCTGAGTAAAGCGGAGTGCTAAATCGCTAAACCAACGAGGCTGTCATTTATTGTAATTTTTAAAACTTCAGTAGATTTCAAAATTTACTTTCAGATGTCCATTTTGCTTCTTGGTGAAATTTCGTCTTGAAATATCTTGACGACTAACCCAAAATTCATAATATGTATTACTATTAAAATGTAGAAAATTGCAATCATTGCAAATGTGAATGCATCAACATATAAATTCATACGAAAATGTGATTTATAATCAATAGAAATAAACAAATTTCTCTGTTAAATTATAACAATACTCAAAACAAACGGCGGTAGGCTATTTCCTACCACATTGGATTCAAATATACCCAAAATAAAAGTGGGCATGTTATGTGGTGAATTTATCATCATCACTACCAAGATCTGGGATGATAATCTTGAAGGTAAAGTACAATACAAAGTATAAAAACAAAATAAAAATAGCTACGAGGTAAACAACAACAACAAATTGGTAGATTTAATGCTATGAAATAAATATAAATGATGGTGATAATCGTGATGATGATGATAGAGACGATGATGATGGCAATGATGATGCGATATTACATGTATCAATAAACAAACGTATAAAACAAATATAACGAAATATGTCAGGGTTTCCACATTTATGTAGAATATGAAGAACTAAAATTGTAGGAAGAATTGAAGTTTGTCTTAGTATAATAGTTAGAATATTAAACTATGTAATAGCTATAAATGTTATTATTATATTTTTTAATAACTAAATTAGAATCTGCATAAGGAATGCAAAGTCATAGTCATTAGAGAAGATTGAACATTATAAAAAAATTTTGAAACTGTTATTTAAGTCACTGTTTAATAATCCCATAATGTGCCTATTTGTTGTGCATAGTTACTTAGAAGTTTAGTATTATAATCATAAATTAATTAACAAACTGGATACCAGTGAATGAAATCTAAAATTCAGTATAGGATAAACTATATATTTTTTGTCAAATAAATATTTGGTTAATAAATACTCAAATATTTTGCATTTGATGCTTACATTTTTGGGTATTTCAAATTATTTGCCTACAAAACATTTAGACTACAAATATATAAGATTCTGCATACTGTGAAATGTGTTTTAAATTAAAGATACATCAAGATACAAATTTCTTTAACATTTTTCTGTCATTGTATTTCAGACATTTGCAATTAAAATTCCATTAGTAAATCCATCTCATTACTATAAATATGTCTAATTTATACAGATACAATCGTTTGTTTACTTTGTAAATTAGAATCAGAATTATTTTAATCTTCTACTGTTTGAACGCGAGCCAAAATATTTTTCTCAATCTAAACTTCCCGTCCTTTCACGCCATTTAGGAGTCTTGCGACTTAAATGTCTGTTTATGTTCGGGATCGGTGTTAATATCCTGCTTCTAGTGTCTGGACTGCAATTTTTAAACGCAAATATAAGACTTACAAGTCAAAATATAGTCATGTCAAATTCAATTGTATTTCCAGTGGACAATGTTCAGTTTCGATTGAGAACATCTTTGTCTCGTGAATATTTAAATTGTAAAATTCAGGGAATAGAAGCTGGATTGTACGACGTTTAATTATATACTTAAATGTATTGAACCTATCCCAGAATGTAATGAATTGTAAATAATGAAGTAACCATGGTTTGTAGTGATACTGTTGTTAAAATCAGACTGATAGGAAATGTAATAGCTTAGAAATCGTGTAAAATATATAATAGTACTACGGTAATGTCATTTTCAACACCATAGAACGTCGTATCTAATATTGTAAATTTAATAACTTTGGACTTTAACATGTTTAATTAGAGTACAGTATGACTTGGAGTGTTTCTATATAGATCATAGTAAAGGTTTGTTGTAGATAGAGAATGAAGAAACGATTAACAATTTGCATAATTTGTTTGGATAAATTTTTTAATTAGAAAATAAAATTTAAAAGATTTAAAAATTAATGTTGTTTGAGAATAACTTCATCTATTGCTAAAGTTTTAAATAATACTCAATGGTTGACTGCTAAAATATTACGACATAATTTAATTATAGAGAAATGTCATTAATTAAACAAGAAAGAAGAAGACTCATTAAAATTCTGCACAAGATACTGATTAGCTTGTTTTTAATTAATGCAACAAAGCAAATAAAGGGCATAATTTAATAATCAATTTAAATTATCATTTAATATCTCAACATAATTAAAAACCTTTAAAAGCTTTGCAACAAAATAATAATAATCTTTATGTAGTACTCCCAAGAAAAGTTTTTTTATGACGAAATATTTTTACTGTCAACCCAAAGTTGGTAAATATTTTGTGCTTTTACTAGACTCGCTCAAAGATTAACATCATTTCAACATTTTTTTTGTTGGCTATACTGCACAATCGCACCTACGCTCAAATAGTGTCAGGGGTCTAGAAATAGTAAAGAACTTTTATGGTGTATACTATTAAGTTTATAATTAGTTATAATTTTAGCTCAAATGTGTCAATAAAATCGCTTTGTTCTAAAACAGGTCTACTCTGGAGTCTATGTTCAATATCTATTTTAATTTAATATTTGTACTGATGTTTTGAAATGTCATCAAAACTAAATAAATCTAAATAATCAATAACAATGGTTATTTTATTAAACAAAAAATAAGGAATGGACATATTGCTTATTCGAGAGGATAAAAAATATGCAATAGAATTAAAATCTTAATTCAATATCATAAGATCGGAATTAGATAGAATAGACTCTAGAATAAATCGCTTGGAAAGTGCAAAGTTATGTAGAATCATTTTGAAACGCCTTTTTAGCAAATTTATTTTTTAGTTGTAACACTATTTGAGATGTAGTGCGTTATGCAGACATATTGTAATCAGTTGTTTTTTTTTATGAAATAGTTTTATGGCGCTGGAAATTCCCAGCCAGCCAAACATTATACACATATAATATTCAGTTGAAGTAACAGAATCATCAAGATCAATACGATCGACGAGTACTATTATTACATCTTTCATTGGCATGGTTGTCAACGTTAGCCCATATTTATATGTAGTTAGTAATTTTTTACATTTTATTTTTGTACCCTTAATTGTAAGGCTAATATACATAATTGTCAATTAATGTGTCATTAATTGAGTAATAGCAGTGAGCCTAGATGCTACATTCGAGTTAATAAAACGATATGCGTGATTTAATTTTGCTTTCATTAAAATTTGACCACAAATTTTCCCCATCACATCACTTGATTTCAGCATTTGATTTTGCAATATTATGAAATTCTGAATTACTAGCAGCTTCTAGTGGTTAAATGCCTGTTTTATATGAATTTAGTTTTATGCCAATAATTCATATTTGCTAAATGCTAAATTTAATAAAACTCTCTCATGCTTAGAGACCTTAATAATAACGGTTTAATATATTTCGTTTGGCAGATTATACAAAGTGATAGTACTATTATTTAAGTTTTAAAAAACAAACTATTTTTATAATCAAGGATATTTTGCGACATCTTTGTTACTACAGAATTAAAAAAATAATTTGATTGTTAAAAAAGTGTCCAATGCCGTGTCATTCCTTTGAAATGGCACAATTCTGACTTGGGAATCTGAATCTTTGCACCTTATGATGTTTGTAGATCTTATTTTATATAATGGACAATTCTATTACGGATCAAATTTATCCGAGATATGACGGCAAGCAATATTTCTAGACAAGGATTAAAATAGTACAACGAATCATAAGAGTGTCAAATATTACCTGAGAAGAAAGCTAAATCATTTTTTTCTAAGTTCATTCTAAACACCACCATAACGTCAACTGTGGTTACCTCTGAGTGATTGACAAATCTGATTGATATTAGACAAAAATTAATGTCAATTTATGTTTTTGCCTGACACTGCGTCGATGGAAATACTGATATCAAACCAAAAATTAATCTGAGAGATCGTGGTAGTCACACGCTGGGAGCGTGTATTCCAAATATATCGAGCGAATTGTAGGCGAGTCAAATGTTTCCTCCACCTCAACGAAAGTTGACAATGCTTCTGTCTACCCCGTCTAGGATAACAGTTGTGGCGGCATGTACTTCGTCTTCTTAAGTAGTATGCTCTTGACAGAGTGGGCATCGCTTTCATGATGGTATCAGTGGATTTTCTTCATTATACTTCTTAGTGATAGAGCTCCTCGCAATTTGTCTCCATCTGGTACGGTTTTTGACTGTACGAAAACATTGTACTATGGTTACATGGTACTGTTTAAAGCACTAAAGACTGCGGCTGGAAACTCATGACTTTATATATATTAACGTAATATAGGCTATGTCTATCTTAACAATGTATATTTAAATAAACTACTTTTACAGAATACCAGGAATTATTTTGCAATTGTTATAAATAGCGACGGTTAAAATCTACCAAAACATTAACGAGCCAACCTCTAAAATACACAAATCCCGCCCTAAATAACCGAGCCCTGTAAATACAGATTATTCACACTACGAATTTAGCGCGCCGTGATAAAACCCATTGAAATCCCCATTAATCCACCCTCTACAACAACTGGGAATTGAAAGAGTGATTATGTTAAATATTGTACCGATTCACTGATGGGCAGGTTAATTCAATCAAAGAGTTCGACCCGTTCATAGTGTCTCCACTGTATTGTTAT